ACTTTCATCACATTTTTTAGTTGAATTTCAAGTAATTTACTCATGCCTGTCCTTAGTTCACCTTAGGTTTGGTAAGTCATCAAGTTTCATTCCATTTTACGTTCATTGATCATGTTTTGAAAGCTTTGAAGACAAACAATTACATGCATGTGATGTTTTCCATCTGCCAAGCTTGAATTTGCACAATTGGCATGCTATTGGGCCTTGATTTTTGCGAAATGATCTTCAATCCTTGATATTATACAAGTTTCTAAATGTTTTCTTGAGTTTTGGCCCAAAAGGATGAGTTTTGTAGTGTTTGATTTGAGTTTTGAACTAGGGAGTGCAATCTAGAAATTCCAGAATTCAGCCTCTCTGCTCAAACGACAAAACCTGCACTCGAGCGACCACTTGTATTTTGTCAAGCGTAAAATGCATGCTTCCAGAAGTTTACCATTTTTGCAGACCACTCGAGCGACAAGAGTTGCGCTCGAGCAAAGACCTCAATCTCACGCTCAGGTAGGGCTACAAATGAACCGAACTGAGCCAAGCTGAGCTTTGCTGAGCTCGAGCTCGACTCGTTTTCTTATCGAGCTCATTTATTGAGCTCGATCTCGACTCGACACTACAAGAAAAATGGGTATATGAGACGGAACTATTTGCGACGGCACACTTGTCGTCTCAAAAAATCACTTTTTGTGACGGCAGAAAATGCCATCTCAAAAAAGCAGAGTATTTGCGACGGCACCATTTGCCGTCTCAAAAAAGCAGAACATTTGCGACGGCACTATTTGCCGTCTCCCGGATAATATTATCCAGGTCTCTCCTCAGCTCAGCAATCCGTGAAGCAGCCTGACCTCCTCTGATCGCGTAGTTCGACCCTATCCTCATGTGTGGAGGAAGGATCGGTCCTGTGGACACTGATGCATACCATTCAACATAGTCCTCGCGGTCGGTCAAATGCATCTCGAAGAAGACTCCTCCAGCATTGAAGTGCCTAATCTGATCTCTGAAAGTGTCCAGTAAGCTATATCTAGCAGTTCCACCCGTCCGCGATGCATGGAAGGATTGGGGTGGCGGATCAGGAACCGGCCGATCAATCCCAAACTGCCGTAACACTATCTCACCTAGGTACCACGCGACCTGGTCCAGGTATATCAGCTCCACTCGGGCAAGGAAGTATGGATCAGATATAGCTTTCCGGAAAAGGAAGGAGAGCCTAGCTGTAAACTCTTGTTCAAGGAGTGAGGGAAAAACAATGTTTGAATTTCACAGGCAAAAGGCCAAGGCGAGAAAGACCCAGCGCAAGGGTAAATGCTCTTTGATAAGATGGATCTGTTTAATACGAATAAGCTGTTCTTCCATTCCTCGTGTTAGCCAGGAAGTTCGAGACGGCAAATAGTGTCGTCGCAAATACTCTGCTTTTTTGAGACGGCAAATGGTGCCGTCGCAAATACTCTGCTTTTTGAGACGGCATTTTCTGCCGTCACAAAAAGTGGCTTTCGTGCTTTTTTTTTAGTGAATATTTTTAAAATTTTAAATATTTTTTTTAGATGTACCTTACTTAGATGTATCTAAAAAATAAAAAAATAAACTGGGATCGCTACACGAAGAATGGATTAAAGAAAGAAGAGAGACTGTTTGATTACAAAAATCAAAACAACATATTATTTTTTTTTGTATTTTTGGTATTTAGTGAATTTTTAAAAGATTTTGGTGATTGTGGTTTTGAGATAGCTTCATATATATACAGTCACAAAATGGTTTGAATAAATTCTAGTACTTTTTTTTGTCGCAAAAAAAATTAAAAAAAACAATGTCGTCTTACTCTTTTGATATAACATTTCTCTTTTCATTCATTTTTTCATCTTCCTGTCTCTCTGTCTCTATCTGTCTCTCTTCTCTTTATCTTTTTTCATTCATTTCTCTCTATCTCTATCTCTATCTCTCTCCCTTTCTATGTCTGCCTGTTTCTCTCTCTCTCTCTCTCTCTCATTTTCTCTCTGTGTCTCTTGCTTATCTCTCTTCTCTCTATCTCTCTCATCTGTTTTCTCTCACTGTCTCTCTCGCTCATCTCTCTTATCTCTATCTCTCTCATTTCTTTTTTCTCTCTCTCTCTCTCTTATCTTTCTATCTCTCTCTATCTCTCTCGCTCATTTCTCTCTCTTTTTTTGTGTCTCTCTCTCGCTCATCTCTTTTCGCTCTATTTCTCTCTTTTTTTGTCTATCTCTCGCTCATCTCTTGTTTCTCTCTCTTTTTCTATCTTTCCGTCTCTCTCTTTCTTTCTCTCTCTATCTCTTTTCTGTCTATCTCTCTCTCCCTGTCTCTCTCTCACTCATCACTCTTTTCTCTCTCTGTGTCTACTTGTCTATTTGTCTATTTCTCCCTCACTATGTTCGCCTTGCTCACTCTCTTACTCCTATCTTCTCTATTTATCGAGCTCCTTCTCGATTTATCGATCCACTATAAAAAAATACACTTTTAGCAACCACTTTGTCTATCTCTCTCTCTCGCTCATCACTCTATCTCTGTGTCTCTCTCTCTCTCTATCTCTCTTCTTTATCTGTCTCTCACAAAATTAAAATATTTTTAAAATATTTAAATATTTAAAATATTAAAAAAATTGATTTGAATTAAGTTTTGAACAGAGTTTTGAATTATCTGTCTTCTTTATTTATTGAGCTCCCTATCGATTTATCGATCCACTACAAGAAAATGCACTTTTAGCGACCACTTTGTCTCTTTCTCGCTTATCACTCTATCTCTCTATCTTTTTTCTCTATTCGTCTCTCACTCATCTTTCTCTCTCACTACCCATCTTCTCTACCACATTTACCACTACTGCAAATGCCATTCAACTACCACCACTCTTCTCTTTTTCTCTTTCACTCATCACTCTTATTTCTCTGTCTGCTTGTCTATCTATATGTTTGTCTGTTTGTCTGTGTGTCTTTCGTTCATCTTTCTTCTCTCTATCTCTCTCATTTGTCTTCTCTCTATGTCTCCATCGCTCATCTTTCTTCTCTCTATCTCTCTCATCTCTTTTCTCTCTCTGTCTCTCTCGCGCATCTCTCTTCTCTCTATCTTTCTATTTTTCTATTCTCTCTATTGTTCATCTCTTTTCGCCCTCTTTCTATATGTCTCTCTCATCTCTTGTTTATCTTTATTTTTCTATATGTCTTTCTCTATCTATTTCTCTCTCTGTCTCTCTCTATATCTCTTTCTCTCTTTATCTCTCTCTCGCTCATCACTCTGTCTTTCTCTCTCTCTTCTATTTGTCTCTCATTCATTTCTCTCTCTCACCACCCATCTCCTCTACCACCTTCACCACTACTGCAAACACCATTCCACCACCACCATTACTTCTACTATAGCCACTTCACCTCTACCACTACCATTACTACTACTATCGCCACCACTCCACTACCACCACTACCACTACTACTACCATTACCTCTCTTTCACCCCTGCCACTCCATTTACACTATCACTACCACAACTTCATCACTAATCTCTTTCGCCATCACCATCACCACCACCACCACCACTACCATCATCTCTTATCCACCACCTTCACTACTGCTGCTGCTCCTTTCCCTCTACCACAAAAAATTAGTTCATAATTTTTAGTAATAAAAAAAAAATAGGCCGCAAAAAAATATTTTTCATTGACTACAGAAAATTAACTTTTATTTTAGTGAAAATATTTTTCATTAAAATATATATGAAACAAATCAACCTTAATAACGGAAAGAAAATAAAAATTATTATTTATTTATTTTTATTATTTAAATATTTATTTATGATGAATTTTTTTTTTTTTCCCCATCCCGCCCGCTCGGTTCCCCCCATTTTTTCCATTCCCGCCCCCCAAAATCCCCAATCTCTTTAGAACCAAAAAAAACCCTAAATCTAATCGTCTCCCTCACATCACTCTCTCAGTCACCTCTCTCTCAGTCGCCTCTCTCTCTCTCTCTCTCTCTCACCCTCTCGTTTATCTTTGCACCGATCTCGTTCATCTCTGCACCGATCACTCTCTCACTCTCTCGTTGTTCATCTCATCGATTCGCACCGATCATCGCACCGCCGATCTACTCACAGGTAAACTCTCTCTCTCTCAATCTGTCTCTCTCTCTCTCTCTCGGCCCGATGGTTGTTTTATATATATATATCTGATATATATATATCAGATATATCTCTGATCTAATTTGTCTCCCTCACTCTCTCATCTCATCAGATCAGTCTCATCTCTGTCCCTCCCTCTCTCGCCCCGATAGACTCACACTGTCTCACAGGTAAGCCTCTCTCTCTCTCTCTCTCCTCTCTCTCCCTGATCTCTCATCTCTGTACTGCACCGATCGAATCTGTGTGTGTAATGTCTCCCTCATTCAGTGATGTCTGTAATGTCTGTATGTTAATCTGAATCTGAAATGTTGATCTTAGTTGATCACACTGTGTAATCCGAAATCTGATCTTAGTTGTGTCTCACACTGTGTAATGTTGATCTTAGTTGTGAAATCTGAAACTTGTATGTTAAATTTATTAATTCTGAAATCTGAATCTGAAATATGAATTTGTTTTGTTTGATCTGAAAATTGATTCTGATTGTTAATTGATAAGCATGCTATCTTTGTGATGGGTTTGAATGTTGTATGAAGAATTTTTACATTTTTTTTTTAGACAACATGGATTCTACTTACCTGATGAAGTAGTTTTCTTTTTCTTTTTCTTTTTCTTTTTCTTTTTCTTTAGACTGTGAACCCTGGTTTAGAATGATGTGATGGTTAATTTTTTTTTAGTGTTCAACTTTTCTCCAATAAGCTAAATGGTTTAATCACATATTAGTATTCTTCAATAAGCTAAATTTTTTTTAGTGTTCAACTTTTCTCCAATAAGCTAAATGCCATATATATATATATATATGTAGTTGTTTCTTGTTTATTCTTAGACTATTACAATGTTGGACAAGTGAGGATGAAATGTGAGTACACATAATGACAAGTTTAACCATCATTAATTACCTGTGAACTATGAAGATGAACTTGTTCTTCTAAGGTTTTTGATTTCAATTACTCTTTTGTTCATTAATGCATAACTTCCTTGCAAGAATTCTTCATGAATAATCATCAATTGCTCCGCGACCTGTTTGAGATATTAATAGCTCATGAGCATCACAAATTATGAACTCAACATTGTAATATACAATAAATCGATGTCATGGGAATAAAAGAAAAATATAATAAAAATAGTCTATTCAAATAGAAAACGTACTTCCTCAATGCTGCCATCTTCAATATCTGTGTTGAAAGTAAGTAGCAAGCTCTCGTGCAACAAGTTCTCCAAATCTTCTATGTGAAGTTGTTCTACAAATCAAAAGGAAAGAGTTGTTCTACAAATCAAAAGGAAAAAAATAAATGTATGCAATAAATAACGTAACTCAATATTGTTTCAATTTTAAAACGAGAAGTGATTTGTCATATAACTGATCTACCTGAAGTTGTTCTACAAATAAAAAAAACATTTAGGGGGGGTTATGTTTCAATTTCAAAACGATACGATTAGGAGTCAAGATGAAAATTATCGTGCACAACTATGCTACCTCAATTTCACTTCATAGCGTTATATTTGATAAAGTTGAAGAGCAAAAGTATATGCAAGATAATAAAACTAAACAAATTATTAATTAATTAATTTATATTCTTTGTATTCGTAAATACTTTATTAATCGTTGAAAAAAGTATTTGTGATGGCGTGGCAATGGCAAAACAAGGGTTCACAAATATTGGGATTGCAAAAAGTTTTTGCGACAGTAGCATTACCATTGTAACTTATTTGTGATGGAAATTTTTCCTTTTAGCGATGACATGATGCCAATACAAATAATATATTCAAAATAAGCAATCTGTACAATGAGAGCATATGTATAGATGGTTGTAATGGGTTTTTTTAAAAAAGAAAAAAAGAATACAATATAAGGAAATCAGACAAATAGAAATCCAATATATACACTTTTAATATTATTTCTTTTCATTTCATTATTTTGAATGAAATTTTAATAATTTCTAGCATATATAACATGATGAAAATCTATAACTATTGTTGTTCTACATGGTAAAGATTGATTTCAAGTGACCTTGCTCAAAAAGTTTGTGTATCATTTTAATTCCAATAAAATAAGTTTTGGGTTGAAAGCTCAAGACTAGACTACAGCAAGTAGTATTTTTAATTGAATAGTGTCTTTACAAACCATACAAACAAACATTATTGTTTTGGTGTGCATGGAATGGAATCTCTGGTGCGGGTCATGCAAACAAACATTATTGTTTTGGTGTGCATGGAATGGAATCTCTGGTACGGGTGGCTTATGAGGAAGCAAGAATAGGAATAGACCTTTGGATTGGGAGAACTAAGAGAGGATATCATAGGTGAGTTGGTCAAATTTTTTGAGAGAATCATTGCCTCCCCACTTGTTTTGGATGGCCATTTGAAGGCCATTCCATCCAGACAAGTGCATTGAGATTCCCTCTCGGAAAACAGAGGTGGCCTTAGCCTTGAGAGAATAAGAGGGTGTTCTTGAGACGGAACTTGTATTAAATGGTTCCATTCAAAACACATCGATTCAAGTTCCTTCTCTTTGTGAGATTCTTTTGTCTTTAGCTTTTAGTTCTCTATTCTCTCTCCTCTTGAAATCCCACCTCCCTTGTTAGAGAGACAAAGATAGGGAGGGGAAAACATTAAATTTGAATGAAGGTACAAAGTTAAGAAAAACAAAGTGGCGTGAAAAGTTGGGATCGGTAGGAGACAAATTCGGAAGGTTGAATGTTTAGCATAGAAGTAGGAGTAACAAAAATGCTTGTCCCCCACTTTCCTACGCTTTCACTCATCCAATCATCCATTTTCCTATTCAACTCTTTTCTCATTGTCTCTTGGCTTATGATTCATCCCTCTAAAATTAGAGTTCTAATTGAACTCTAGTAAAGTGAAAAATATAGTAATGAAACATAACTCTAATTTAAGAGCTCTAAAAGGAGCTCTAGTGAGGTGAAAAAAAGAGAGTAGAGAGAAATAAAAAGAGGAGTGTGAGCCCCACCTTCACATGAGTACTCTCCACATCATTAGAGTTGTATTAGAGCTCTCAAATATTATTGATAAAAAAAATAAGACTAAATTATTATATCAGAGTAGAACCCACTTTCCATTAGAGCTATTAGAACTCCAATATTAGAGCTCTAAAGAATTTATATCGTCTCCCTCTCATCTTTCCTAACAACCATAGATCATAAATTATTGCACAAAAAATACAGAAAATAAAAAAAAAATTAATTTTTAGTGGACACCCTGTTTTTTTTTATTTTTTCGTAAAAATTTTTTCGTTACACCTGATTAACTACCATAAATAGAGTTAATTGTAATCACATATTAGTATTCTTCTCACAATTCTTTATGATGGACCCTCTGCATGTGAGTTCCTACAAAATAAATTTGTGTATTCTACAATCCAAGACAGGTAGGAACCCTTTAAGTCCAACCCTTCCCACTCCCATCAGACATGAAAAAATTCCCCAGGTATATTACAATAAGAGTTTATTACACTATTTTGGACTACATTGAATTCCATTATTATTATTATTATTTGTGAGCAGGGAAAGCTTTGGTTTCTCCAATTCAGAGATATGCAGTTGTTCCTGATGACAACGTAAGTGTTCTTTCCATAGTCTTCATTGTCTTCATTACTGGTGTTTAAATAGTTGGTTTCTCCAAAAGATTATAATTTGCAACTGTTATCTATTTATTTGTAAGTCAAAAGGATAAATTTTGCTGAGGGGAAGATCTGATTCTAGAAGTAAGGAATTTGCAGCTTGATTTTTGAAATAGGCTCAAAATTGAGATCTTGTTGGAAATTTTTTAATTTTTGCAAGAGCATTTAAATATCCAATGTGTTGATTGGTGAATTTTAAATTTTATTTTATTATTATTTTTTTTTTTAGGATTTGGGTGAATTTTATAATTTAAATATGCTTTTATGAACATGTACAGTTTAATTGTTCTTTGTAAAATATTGAATTTGATGGTTTGATAATTTTTTATTTTTGTTTTCTGTTATGATGTTTTTGTGAATAGAATGTAAATAATCAGCTCTAGCAAAGAGCAGACGGCACACCGTCGGAAAAAATAGAAAATTTTAATATTTTTATTAATTTTGTTACAGTTACTTTTTGCGACGACATTATACTGTCCAAAAATAGAAATTTTATTATTTAAAATAGAAATTTTATTATTTTTAATATTTTTGCGACGCATTACACTGTCGCAAAAATAGAAAAATTCAATTTTTTATACTTTCTGCGACGGCACCACACGTCGCCAAAAAACAGTGTTTTTTTTTTAAAAAAAGAAGCTATGCCAACGGATTTTTTGCCGTCTCAAATAACATTTTTAGCGACGGTAAAATAGGGCCGTCGCAAAAAAGTCAAGAAATTTCAAACGTTATTAGCGACTGCACGGTGCCGTCGCAAAAAGGCAAAAAATGCCGTCGCAAAACATTAGCGACGGCACTTACCATCGCAAAACTCTTTTGCAACCCCTGCAGTTGCGACCCCCCTCTTGCCGTTTGCGACCCCCATTTTGCCGTCGTGAAAAGTATTAGCGACGGCATTAGGAGTATTAGCGACGGTATTTTACCGTCGCAAAAAGTTAATTTTTTTGTAGTGCGATAAGAAACTAGGCTCGAGCTCGGCTCGGCTCAGGTCGTTAGCATTAATGAAGCTCGAGCTCGGCTCGACTCGACTCAATAATTTTTTTTAATATTATTTATATAAAAATATTTAAATAAAAATTATTATTTTTATATATTTATATATTATTTAATATATAAATAATATGTTTATTATATAATTTAAATAAAGATAAACGAGCCAAGATGACGCGAGCTCAAGCTCGGCTCGTTTACTAAACGAACAGAGCTGAGCCGAGCCCTTGACGAGCCGAGCTTGTTCATGAACAGCTCAGTTCATTTGCAGCCCTACGCTCAAGCAACCATCAAGCGAAAAAATCAAGCAATCAGTACTTTTGCAAAATTTATAGATCGCTCGAGCGACCACTTACATGTTTGGACGTCCACTCGAGAGAAGAAAGTTGCGCTCGAATGAGACCCCTATTTCCAGCATATTAGACTAAGTGTTTTCAAGTGCATTTTGGCATCCTCATTGCATCCCAAGCATTCTTAAGCCCTTAGGTCACGTGCTATAGACTATCCAAATCACCTGCTTTCTCTATTTTGCTATCGGGGCCTTCTGTGAGTAATAACTCTGTAAAGTTATGTTTAACTTTAATTATTTTTTGATGATATAAAATGATAAGTTTTCTGAAATGCTATGTTTTGTATGAATGAATGATTGTCCAAGTTTCTGAAATGTATTCGTAGCATCCGTAGTATCATATGATATGTGTCCCTTTATGGGTCATCGGAATGCCTTTATGGTCATCCCTTATGGGTTATCAGAAATGTCTCTGTGCACATGAGTCATCGGAATGCCTTATGACTGTCCCTTTTTGGGTCGTCGGAATACCTTCACAGCCGTCCCTTCATGGGTCATCAAATTTGTTAATGCTAACGGATGTACCATGTACTATCATGTGAAATGTATGAACTATGAAGACGAATATGATTATGCATACAAATCTGTTTCAGCTTTAACATCTGATTATGTACAAGACTCTGTTTTTGTATGGACATCATTCAGCAAAACCTTTACTCTTCCACTCGTTATTTATATTATGTATGTAGGTGAGCAGGCCCGTGACCAGGCCTAAGCTGCTACCTGGAGTCTCTATTTTGTCAGCCAGCTATTGTGTCTCTCGAAGAGGTTCCTTTTTGTGACCAAGTCAAGTTTATGTGGCATATTATGAACAAGTTTCTTTGACTATTGTATATGTAATTTCGACGAGTCCCCTTTGACTTTATTTGTGTATATGGGTGACATAAAGCTACCATATCTATGACGTCACAAGTGTATATGTAAGTTTTATTTTGAAAATTTATGTCTCATATATGTCAACACAACTCTGTGGACTATGTATGTTTTATATATTGTTTCTGCAGCCTCTTATTGTATGTTAATCTGTTCGGAGGCCTTAGGTAATCCAACGATTACTGGCCGATTACGACGCTAGACCTATAGGGGCAGGTTTGGGTCGTGACAACTTGGGATTGTCGACTTTTGTTGCCAAGTCGTTGAGAATTTATTATGATAATTTTGCAATTTTTTTTTTAAAAAATGACAAGTATTATAATGTGTAGACACCCCATTTTTGACCGTCCTCAAGACTTGGACGTCACCGTTTGAATACTCGGTGATTATCCTTGTTTGTGTTCGTTTGGAGTTCCCGGAGGTCTCGGCTCGCGTGCCCTGCCT